CTGCCCCTGCTGCACCCCTGCTGAGGCTGACTAGTAAGGAAGTCAATTTCTAATCTGTGGCATCACTTTTTAAACAACAGGACTTTAATCTGCCAGCATAATTTGCTTTTTAAAGGGAAATTTCTAGTAATTTTCACCATGTTCTGCAGACCCTCCAGATGCAGGCTGTGTCTGAAGTCGAAAGGGGCTTGCACCAGTGTTCCAGATTTCATTCCGAGCTCTCCATAAATTTGGCAAGGCAATTTGGGCAGGTCCTTAACACATATGCTCACAAATGGTGGTTTTTACAGGGTGCAGGATTGCATCATTTTTCCATGAGAGCTGTTGTGGAAGTAAATTCACCACATAAGGAGTAGCAGCACAATTTGACTCTCTATAGGGCAACTAATATATACCAATGAGATCTTCATTCTCAAAGGATCTTCTTTAAAAATAAAAATCAGCCTGAGGTAGAAGAAAGATTCCTGCAGGGATATTTACTGCACAGATTTAATTTCTTCTTTTTGTTATTTCTGCCTTCCCACAGCCTCTTGGTAAACTCAGGGTAGAAACCCCTACTGTTTTTGGCCACATTTGCCTTCTGTTTTCAATGGCCCGTGGTTTTCGCTTTTCACAGGGGGAGCCGGCTAAGATCTTGTTTTCTAAGTTCTTGTTTTCCTGGGCTGAGGTGTGTGGGGAGGTTATGTTCACTTCGACTTTCCTGCATGTCACCCCGATTTCTCCTGCTGTTCACCCAAAAATGAGCTGCTGGCGCCGGGTGCCATCTAGTGGAACAGCCTCTGTGCTGGCTGCTCCTGGGCCCTGGGCTGAGCATCTCCGCACCGTCCCATCTGCTTTCCTCTGAACGGGGCTGCTTTGCAGATATATCTGCCGATAACTGCCTGCAGCTGTCTGCATTATAAACATTTCTGCAAAGCTCCTCTCGTAACCCCACAGTTGCACTTGCCACACTGTAATTGCCAGCTAGTTGTAATTTATAGGCACTGCGATAGCATCTGCAGGTCGAGATGTGGAACAGGGAGCTCTCGTGCAAGGTGCTGGGGAAAAACTGGGACACAAATACCATATGCATTTATGTCTTGAC